GGAAGCCTGCAATTTGCCTGAGGCTTGATGTCCTGAAAAGGTGTCTGTGTGCCTTAGGGCACAGGGAGGGGGCTGCACAGGAAACCAGCAGTGAGGACCACGGACCCAAGCTCCACCTGATGGGACCCTTGAGAAGTGCCCCCCCCATGCCAAATGCTCCCCCCCTCCCATTTGGCTCTTATCTGGGTTGGGGCCTGGGTCTCTGCAATTAGCCCCCAAGGATTGCCTCTGGGCCTCAGACCTGCAGAGCCCACACCCCATCCCCACTTGCCCCGCACCCCACTCTGTGCCTCTGTTTCCCTCTTCGAAACGGGGACATTAAGAGTCGCCCTACTTAAAGAAGTGAACACCATGCACAGGGCACATGGCAACGGCAGGCTCAGAGTAGGAAAATTATTAAGTTATTATTACCGAGGAGATAATCTTATCTATCCTCCTAGAGGGTGACAGTCCTGTAGGGGGTAGGGGTCGTCTCGATTTCACTAGGAGTCTTCCAGAGGACCAGCATGCACTCCGCCACCCTCACGATTCTGCTGGATTAGTGCCCCCACGCCCCGCAGCCATTCCCTCTCCAAGACCGCTCCCCACCTTGCGGCGCCCCCATCTCAGGGCCCTGGTCTCCTCCCTGAGACCCCCGCCTGCTCTCATTTCTCGTTCTTGTAGCTCAAGTCATCACTGGGTGTTTAATCCCCATTTTACAGATGTGGCAACGGAGGCTCTGCGGGGGGGGGGAACTCACTAGAGCCAGGTCGCTAGTCTATGGGACAGGGGTGAAACTCCGAGCTCGGTAGGGCAGGCCCATTCTAGGTGCCGGGTAAGATGGTGAAGGGGTCCCCAACCCGGCTCGGGTCCCTCCAGCCCTCCCAGGCGGAGGTCCAACCCCCTCCCCTCCCCCTCCGACGCTCCCAGTCCGGCCCGCGCCCTCCGCGCCCTGTGCGCTCGGGGCCTCGGCTCGCACTTTGCCCACCGTCCCTAGGCAGGGGGCGGGGCCTCCCGCGTCGCTGTTCCCCTTCCCTTTTTATTATTTATTATCATTTAAAGGGGCCGTGACCTGAAAATTTCTGGCCACTCTCTCCCCCTCCCCAACACCCCTAGGCTGGTGGTGCGTCTTCGGACCGAGTGCGGGGGGCGAGGGGGGCGTCCGGGAAGGGGGAGGGGGCCTCGCGAGACCCCTCCCCGCGTCCCGGGCCGCAGCGCTGAATCACCGGCGAGGTATTTGCATCTGAGAGCGATTTGTCACCCGGTGATTTGTCTGCGGGGCGGTGAGCGCGCCGGCGGGGGGAGGGGAGGGGCGGGGGAGGCCGCGCGCGGGGAGACTCTTACCAATCGGGTCGGATGGGGGTGTAGACGCGGACTCGGCTGGCGGCTCGGTGAGTCGGCGCGCGGCACAAACCCGGCGGCGGCCGGGAGCCAGCAGCGCGCAGCTCGCGGCCCGGGCCGGAGGCCAGGCGCGGCCGGGGCAGGGCCGGACGCCAGGCGCAGGGCATGCGCCCCCCGAGCGGGCCCTGCGCGGTGAGGCGGGGGGGAGGCTGGCCTTTTAAGTCGCGGGTTCCGGTCCTGGGTGGGCGCACTGCACCCGTGAAGCCAACGAAGGGGTCTCCAAAGTTGGGCAGGGACGTGGGTGGGGGTTCAGGACCGAGAAGGCGACTCTAGCGGGTCGGAGTTGGGGTGGGCTTCTCTGCGACCCCCCTCGGAGACCTCACCCCCCCCCACCACATTGCGCGAGGGCGATCGGGGGTCGCGAGTGAGCGCTGCCCCTCACCCCCCAGCGGAAGGAAATGGTCTCTATGAGCGCGCTGGGGGCTGCACTCCCGGCTCTTATCTCATTTTTTCTCCCCGGAATCGGGTGCTTTATTCCGGAGTCCCAAGGGGAGCGGGAGCGCCGGTTGGGGAGGGCAGTTCCCTGGCGACCCTCTCCAGCTCCGACTGCGTACTTATAAAGTGCCGGCTCCGGAGCCGAAAAGGACCCCTGGAGCGCGACCCCCACCGTCCCCGCGCCCGGGCGGGGGTTCCGCGGGGCGGCCAGCACTCTGGCTGGGATCCCCGGGAAAAGCCTCCCTCCCTCGGTCAGTGCCCCCCAGACACAAAAGCGGGCGCAGGAAGCGCGGGGAGCGCGCGTTTGTCAACTCCAACGTTCGGCGTCCGACCCCAGGCGGCGGATTTGTCAATAATCTTCCGTTTTTAGTCGCCCGGGCCGGAGGGGTTGCCCCCCCCACCCCATGCAAATCGGTCGCTTTCCAAGAAGCCTTTGAAATCCGGACTGGGGTTTTTGTCGTCTTATTTCTTCTCTTTCTTCGGTTTTTCTTTTCTCACTTCCTCTGGGCCGCCCCCCTCCCGACTCTCCTAGCCCCCTCCCCAGCTTTCTGCCCCACCCCACCCCCTCTTCCCTTCGTGGAGTGAGGGGCCCCTTTCGCCACCCGCGGGCCCCAGCCTTGCACAACTCTTTAAATAACCGTGTTTTGCAAGGCCCCGGCCCGAGCGGGTGACCTCTCTCTCCGGGAGGCATTGGGGGGAGGGTGTGGCCCCGGATCCCTCTGGGCCCCTAATCAGGTCCCAGCGACCACCCAGCACCCCCCACCCCTGCCTGGTCCCTGCCTGGGAATGCCTCTCCCTTGGGGTTGTCATAAAGTGGGGGTAGGGGCCGAGGACAAAGGGCTCTTGGGGGAGGGGTCTGGAGGGGGTGGGCGTCGCCAGCTTAGGGTTAATGGCGGCCATGGGGGCCCCAGGCACGGCCCAGGGGAGCTCTGGGGTTCCCACCTGCCCCCTCCACCAGCCCCAACGTGGAGGCCTGCCCTGCTCCCCTCCCCCACTGGGCGACCCGGAAGGGTCATTAAACCCAGCAGGCCTGGGGGTGGGAGGCTGGGGGGGGGAGTGGCTTCCTCTGGCCTCTTCCTTCTGCCCCCCAAAGAGGAGGGGGGGCGTTGCCTGGAGCGTTTCCGTGGGGAGGGGGGGCTTGTCTTGAAGTTGTCAAATGTGGGGGAGGGGTAGTGGACTAGACTAGACACTGGGCGTGAAATGTCCCCTCAGCACTTCTTAGGGCTGGTGGGGGGGTGACCACCAGTCCTGGGAGGGGACGGAGAGTGGGGGGCTGGGTGCTACTTTGCTGCCTCTAAGGACAGACTGTATTGGTCACTCTCCAGCACTGTGGCCTCTGAGAGGGTCTTTGTGCCCTGAGACCCCTGCCCCTGCTGGATACTGAGATCGTTTGGGGACATGTCCCACCCCCATTTCCCACATGGGGCCACCCACCTGCCCCCCCCCACTGCCCTTTCACCCATCCGGAAGAAAGCTGCAGGGGGTCTGGGGAGAAAGTGGAGGGCCACTGAGCCTCCCTGACTGGGGAGGTGTGTGTGTGGGGGGGTCTATACTGCAAGATTCCCCTGAGTGGGGTTAGTTTCCGCTTAGGGGGTCACCATAGGAGTTGGGAGGGTGGCCAGCCTGGCGAGTGAGCATCAGCTAGCTCTAGCTACCAGGAACCTCTTCCCTCTGGCCCCTCATGTATCAGGGCTCCCTGTCTGCCCCAGGAGTGGCTTAGGGGTTCATTTGCTGGGTCAGGGGCAGCCTCCTGCCCCCTGCCTCCCATCCCCCCTCCCTGCGAGGTACTATCTGGGGTGTCACCGCTGGGCCTGTTGGGTTCTGCCCGGTTGGTTTTACAGGCGGCCTGGGCAGGTGGGGGTGTGGCCAGGGCTGGAGCGGGGGGCTGGGGTGGGGCCTGCACCCTTCTGTCCTGGTGGGGCCCAGCTCTGCCAGGTTCCGGATGCCCCTGCCTGAGATGCTGGCAGTTAGGGTTGGTGGTGGTCTGAGGAGACCCCAGGCTGGGGCACAGCTCCTCGCATCCTGGGATGTGTTGGCCCCCCTTGGGGTCCCAAAGAGCAGGAGGACTCCCCTGCAAAGGTCATGTGGGGTGGTGAGAGAGGTTGTGATGTCACCCAGACCCTGGTTCCGGTCCCAGCCTTGCCTGGAACCTGCTCTGTGTCCTCCCAACAGCGCATCTGCGGGCCTCAGTTTTTCTTATGCCTAATGTGGGGATTGCCCAGCGCCTCCTTCCCTAACGCGGACAGGGTGCGTGCTGTGTACCTGCTTGAGCACAGAGAGGTGGGCGCTGTCAGGACACCATCTTGCAGATGGGGAAACTGAGGCCCGGAGAGGCTGAGGCTTAGGGATGAGGTAGGAGCACGAGGGAGGCCCTGTATACAAGAAGCACTCACTCTGGGTCAGCCATTGTCTTGGTTAGCCTTGCGGGGGTGGTGCCTGGAGCCATCTGCAGCAGGGGCTGCGAGCCGCAGGGGGTGCGAGCCGCAGGGGGCGCGAGCCGCAGGGGGTGCGAGCAGCTCCTGGAACTCGGAACCAGAACCCTGAACCCATCTGGACTCTGGTGTGTGGTAACTGGCTATAGCCAATCAGAGGCCAGGAATGCCCAGTTCCCCTGCTCTGTTTGTGAAGCAATAATCCGAGGTCTTCCCGGGGAGGTGTGGTCAGTAACTGCATGTTTCTCTGTGGCCCTGAGGGTGGGGGTCGCCTCGAGACCCTTGGGAGCTCAGTGCGGGCTGACCCTGCTTTCCAGCCTGCTGGAGGGCAGACAGAAGGGGGCAGATGGGGAGAGCACCATCTCCCACCTCCAGGGAGGCCTCCTGGTTTGCACCCTCATGGGAATGGATGGGAGGGATTTTCCCAGAGGCCTCTGGAGTCTGACCTCAGTGGGGAGGATGGGGCCAAGGAGCCCAGGAGTGGTCTGATGATCTGTCTTGCTGCCCCCAGGTTTCTGCAAACCCGTGAATGAGCCAGACACCAGCCGCTGTTACCTGGTGCCTGGTGTGAGGAGGAGGCAGCGCTGACATGCCCTCAGCCTGAACCCGGCGGCCCCCGCCCCCACCCCCGCCACCCTGCACTGTCCCAGCTCCCCTGAGGCCCCCACACTGCAGTGCGGCCAGGCCCCCTCCCCGCAGGGGCCGCCCCTGCTGCCCACCTCTGGTGCCCGGGGCGGCCCGGCCCGCAGGGCCATGAAGCTGCAGGCCGTAATGGAGACCCTCCTGCAGCGGCAGCAGCGGGCACGCCAGGAGCTGGAGGCCCGGCAGCCCCCGCCGCCCCTGCCGCCCCCACCAGCTGAGCTCCCTGCTGGCCCCCCGGCCCGTGCCAGGGCCGCCCCGGAGGAGGACAGAGAGCCAGAGAAGGCCCGGATGCAGCGGGCCCAGATGGCTGCGCTGGCCGCCATGCGGGCAGCGGCTGCAGGCCTCGGACCCGCACCCAGCCCCAGCGGCTCGGAGGATGGGCCCCCCAGCTTGGAGGATGAGGACACGGCCCAGGAAGGGGTGCCAGGCTCGCCTGCCCCACCTGGCCGAGGCAGGGAGGCACCGGGACACGCTGAAGGCGACGGGCACTTGGAGGATGTGGGCTCCGAGGGCGACCTGTGAGTTGGGGGTCTGTGGGCTATGCACTGCACAAGCATCCATTGAGTGTTTGATGCATCCCAGGCAGCTCTAGGACAGGACCCCGTCCTGCTGCTGACCACCGAGGTCAGTTCTGTCTTTTAGAACTTCCTGGAGGAGGGTGGAGACACGTGCAGCCTAGGACCCACCCCTCACAGGCAGTGGGGTATCTGGGTTTGTAGCTTTATTCCGTCTCGATTTAAATGCACCAGCCCCGTGTGGCCAGGAGCCCCAGTGCCCCGTGAGGCTCCAGCTGATGCAGTGGTCCCGGGGGAACCCGCGCAGAGTGGGCGTTGACTGGCTTGTGGACGTCCACCCTGGACGTGTTCCACGTGGACCCAGTGCAGGCCTCCAGCTGAGTGTGGGCGAGCCCCCAGTGGGATCATCCTGGGAAGACATCCAGCAAGCTGAGAAGCAGGGTGGCTGTGGGTTTTGACAAGGAAATAAAGGATGGGTGTGCGTTGGGGGGGTGTCCGGGGCTGGGAACGGCGTGCCTGGCAGAAGGAACAGCCAGAGCCAAGGCCCTGAGGCAGGACCTGGGTAGGCATTTCCAAGGCCCACCGAGGAAGCCTGTGCGGCAGCAGGCGGGAGATCAGCAGGTGCGCGGCCCGCGCCCCTCGCGGCACCTGGAGCAGGTGGGGCCGCTCCCCCATGTTTGGAGGGGGAAATCGAGCCCCAGCGAGCAGCAGACCCTGCTGCGGGGCCGGAGCCCACGGGCGCCGTCCGCCTGACCTGCGCCCTCTGCCTGCCCCAGGAAGCCAAAATGGGAGGAGGAGGACGACCTGGAGGAGGACCTCGAGGAGGAGGAGGAGGAGGAGGAGGAGGAAGAGGAAGAGGAGGAGGAGGACTTCGAGGGCGAGGAGGGGCTGGGGCCGCCCGGCTCTTCAGGTCTGGGCCCCGCAGCCCTCGTCCCCCGCAGGGCCCCGCCGTCCCAGGCCTTCCGTGGCGACAGCGGGCCCCGGGCGCTTGGCCAGGAGCGCCAGGGGGCCAGCCTGGCCCACTCCGGAGGGGCTGCCCACGGGGCGCCCCAGCTGCCGCCGCCCGACCACGGGGACTGGACCTACGAGGAGCAGTTCAAGCAGGTGCGCTGTGCGTCGCGCGGGGCTGCGGGCTGGGGTGCACTGCCCGGTCCTGACAGCGGGCCCACGCCAGCCAGGCACCCAGGGAGCCCCGCGGACAGCCTGTGGGCGGGATGGGCCAGCTGTGGAGCGCACCACGTGTGCACAGGAGGGGGGACCCCAGCCTGGAGGGATACTCTCGGGGCTGCACGGTCCTGAGCCTGGAGGGAGATGCTCGGGGCTGCACGGTCCCCAGCCTGGAGGGAGACGCTCGGGGCTGCACGGTCCCGAGCCTGGAGGGAGACGCTTGGGGCTGTATGGTCCCCAGCCTGGAGGGAGATGCTCAGGGGCTGCACGGTCCCGAGCACAGGAGGGGGGACCCCAGCCTGGAGGGAGATGCTCGGGGTTGTACGGTCCCGAGCCTGGAGGGAGACACTCGGGGCTGCACGGTCCCCAGCCTGGAGGGAGACGCTCGGGGCTGCACGGGCTCGGTCCCCAGCCTGGAGGGAGACGCTCGGGGCTGCACGGGCTCGGTCCCCAGCCTGGAGGGAGACCCTCAGGGCTGCACGGTCCCCAGCCTGGAGGGAGACGCTCGGGGCTGCACGGTGTCTGCCCCAGAAGGGCCCGCAGACAGACAGCCAGGAACGGGACTCTGGGCTGAGGGAGGTGCCCAGGCAGAGGCCACGCGGCTGGACCAGGCTTGGCGTGGACCACGGATGGGGGGCGAGGCCCAGCGGGTGGACGTGCGGGCAGAGAGCTGGGGGCTTGGGGACAAGGACCCAAGGCTTGGTCAGTGGGTGTGGTGTCTGGTCGCTAGAGGCCATGGCAGTTGGTTGAGCAGGGGGTGGCCACGTTGGTGTGGACTGCCGAGAAGCTCCCTGGGGCTGCAGAGGGGCGGGGAGGAAGCAGGGCCGTCCTGGTGCCTTCCCTGCGGGCGGCCAGGGCAGAGGAAGTGGCCGGGCGGGGGACCCTTTGAAGTTGGGCCGAGCTGGGCTGGGCAGATGGAAACCAGATGGCGTCCGGCCGGGCTCACATTCCAGTCCGTGGCCAGCTGGGCCCTGCCCCGACCTCCAGGAGTGGCCGGCGGGGACCTGGCCTCCCCAGCCCAGTGGCCTAGTAGCCTGAGTCTTCTAGGTCTCCACGGGCTGTGGACAGGCCCGTGTGTGAGAGCCGAGAGCTGGCTGTGCGTGGCCTCGGGGCGGCCCCCTCTGGATGCTGGCCTCCCAGAACTGGCTCTGGGCCCCTCCTGGAGGGCTCTCGAGGCCCGGCTGGCGTGTGGGACCTCCGGAGGGATGGGACCGAGGGCCACCGGCCTCCCCTCTGAGCCTCACCTGGGGAGCAGAGCACGTGGCTCCGGCCGCCCTCAGAGCTTTGAGTCAGGCCGAAGACAGATAAAGTAGGGAACCGGGCCGGACACACGCCGAGGGGGCCGGGCAGGGGCTCCCGTGGTGGGAGTACAGTGCCTGGAGGCAGCAGGGGAGCTGGCCGGACAGCGGGGGCTGCCCAGGTGTCTGGCTTGGGTGGGGCAGTGCTGAGGGCTGGGTGACAGCCCGCAGACGTGGCCTGTCTGGCCGTGGCTGGCGCCCCCCACACCCCCTCCTGCTGGAGGCTCCGCCCCTGCGTGTGGACCCCAGGCTGAGTGTGCGTGTGGGGGGACGGCCCCACCCTGCTCCCTGCCTCAGTGTCTCTCCCCTTCGGGGCTGGGTCCCTGCCCGTCCCGTTTTGCAGATGAGATACCCGAGCCACCGAGCTGAGGGGGTGTCTCCAGCGCCTCGCCCTGATTCAGAATAACACACAGGCCACCATGGGCAAGTTATATTTATTTGTTCACCGAGTACGTACGGGGAGTATGGGCTTGGGGGCTGGAGCTGGACAGATCCCCCCGCGCCCTGCATTATAGGGCCCCTGCCGGGCCACACAGTCCTTGTGAGGACCCACAAGCCCCCAACCCTGCTCAGTGGACTTAGCCCCCGCGGGGAGGCCAGGCCAGGCCTGGGGTTGAGAGGCCTAGACCCCAAAGCCCCCTGGGCATGCCAGGAACAAAGGAGCACAGGACCCATTGTCCCACTTGTCTGGGATGCCCAGGGGTGGGGAAACGGAAGCCAGAGGGGGTCAGGGGACCCAAAGGCACAGTCTTAGCACCTTTGTCGAGCACCTCCTAGATGTGTGGCTCCCCTGTGTGTGGAGGTCAGCCTCCGAGTAACCGGACAGCCTTGCTGAGGCAGTCAGGGAGATGTGGTCTGGCATCTTTAGCTGGGGGTGTGGGGGGGGGGGGTGTGGGGGAGAGGCCTCTCGGGATATGCCATTTGGGTCGAGCCTTGCAGAAGGACAGACCGTGCACCTGGCAGAGAAAATGGCCTGGGCAAAGGCCCTGGGGCAGGACTGACATTGGCATGTGTGTGTGTGTGTGTGTGTAGAGGCCAGATGCTGCCAGGTTGGGCCCTGCAGGAGATAGGATTGGATTCTGTGAAGATGGGGGCCCAGGGAGGCTGTGAGCAGGTGGGGGGCCTGCCCTGTAGTACTGGGATCTTCTTCCTGCCCGTTCGGGGCAGGGCCAGCTGCCGGCCCTGCACTCCTGCCCAGGCGGCCAAGCACCTGCGTGGCCAGTGTCAGCAGTGTCCTGGGCCCAGCCCGCCCAGCAGACGTCGGGCTGTGTTGACTCTGGCGTCTTCCCCACAGCCTTCCTGGCACGTGGCAGCCTAGCCGGCCAGCCGCCCACTTGGCACCATGTCTGCCTCTTCCTCCCCAGTCTTGGCAGGGCCTGGGGCCGACTTCCCCTACAAACCCTCGATAGCCGTGAAGTTCCGCCGTAGGCTACAGGTCTCGGGGCGGCCAGGCTGGGGAGGGACCTGGAGCAGCGGGCTCGTGGCCACGGAACCTTCCCTTGAAACGTTGCAGCCTCAGTGCTGTGGGGCCCTGGGGACATGCACGGATGGAGGCCAGCACGTCTAGAGCCACTGGCCGGGGACCGGGCATGTCGCGGGCAGTGATTAGGATCTTAGCCTCCTGGCATCAATCAGACGGGCGCATCCTGGTGACAGCCTGGTGGCTTCTGGTCACCAGCACAGCTGTGCCTGGGCTCTAGAAAGTGCCCCCCCCAGCAGGCCTTAATCTCAGAGAATCGGGATCTTTGGTCTCAACAACTCAAACTTTGGGATTGTTTTCAACAGCTTTATTGAGATAAGACTCACATAGCACATAATTTACCCATTGAAAGTGTGGAATTCAGTGGTTTTTGGTGTCTTCACAGAGTTGTGCAGCCATCACCAGATTATTTTACGAAATTTACGTCACCTCAAACGTAAACCTTTGTAAATGTATTTTTTAGCTAATACCCCACCCTCTCCCCGGCCCCCACAAGCCCCCTTCCCGTCCGCGGATGAGCCTGTTCTGGACGTGTCACCCACGTGGACTCACACCCCGTGTGGCCTTCTGTGTCTGGTTCCCTCCCTGAGCGTCGTGGGCTCGGGGTCCGTCCCTGGGGCTGCGCGTGTGGGCGCCTTGCTCCTGCTCACGGCTGAGGGACGCTCCTGTGCCTAGGGGACACGTTCTGTTTGTCCATCCACCTGCTGATGGACACTTGGGTTGTTTCTACCTTGGGCTGCCGTGAGTTGGGTTGCTCTGAGTCGGGTTGCTGTGAGTCAGGCTGCCGTGAGTTGGGTTGCTGTGAGTCGGGTTACTGTGAAGGGTTGCTGTGAGTCGGGCTGCCGTGAGTCGGGTTGCTGTGAAGGGTTGCTGTGAGTCAGGCTGTCGTGAGTCAGACTGCTGTGAGTCGGGTTGCTGTGAAGGGTTGCTGTGAGTCAGGCTGCTGTGAGTCGGGCTGCCATGAACATGTGTGCATGTCTTTTGTGTGGACGAGTGTTTCCAGCTCTCGTGGGCACGTAGCCAGAAGCGGACCCGCTGGGTCGGGCGGTAACGCTGTGATTGGCCTCTCGGGGACCGTGGACTACTTCCCACAGCGGCTGTACTGTTTGCCTTCCCATGGCCACACGAGGCTCCAACCTCTCCATGGCCTCGCCAGCACCTGTGATTACGACTTGGCTGCCGAAGTCACGGTGGGGTGGCGTGCGTCTCGCTGTGGTTTTGGTTTGCGTTGGATGCTGGGATATTTCCCCCTGCTTTTCAAGGTGACGTCCGTCCACTGCGTAACGTGTCAGTGAGCTCAGAGATGTGGAGGACACTGTTGTAGCTGAGACTTGTCACCTGGCTGTGCAGGAAGCAGACCGAGCCTGTCACCTGTGTCCGCCTGCTCCCACAGGGAAGGGCAGCTGGGGGCTCTTCTTGCACCGACCGAGAGGGACACGGGTGGTGAGTCGCCTGCCCGCAGCGACATGGAGTCGGTGTCAGAGCTGGGACTGGGCCTAGCATGCACCGGAGGAGTGGACAGATGGGTGGGGGGCCCCCTGGCTGCAGGAGTTGGGGGCACTGGGGTCCCTGGGCCTCTGTCTCCTTCACTGTGGAGACAGTGGGTCCAGGGCCTGGACACACCCAGGCGCACAGGCGGGAAAAGACACCGGAGGCCTCTGTGTCCTCACCGGGGACCCTGCCCGGCCCCCTCCCCTCCCCGGGCCTGTATGATGCCCGGCGTGTCCTTCTCCCGCACAGCAAGCACGGCCCACATGGAGGTCGGACTGTGGCCTCAGAGGTGTTCTCCCCAAGAGCCTCAGGTCCCGTTTGGTGTTTTTTTAGCCCTTTTGGTGCATGTAGGTGTTTCTATTTATTTATTTTTTTTTTTAAAGATTTTTAATTATTCATTTGAGATACAGAGAGAGGGAGAGAGCATGAGCAGGGAGAGAGGCAGAGGGAGAAGCAGGCTTCCCGCGGAGCAGGGAGCCCGATGCAGGGCTCGATCCCAGGACCCTGGGACCATGACCCGAGCCGAAGGCAGACGCTTAACGACTGAGCCATCCAGGCGCCCCAGGCGCCCCACATGTAGGTGTTTTCAGCCATGGGAAATACACGTGTGTGCGTTTTTAAGTCCATTTTTGATTCCAGAAGTAGCACTTGGTACCATTCTCGTAGGA